TTAATTTATTACTTAACTAACTAACACTAATATGTGTGTGTGTGTGTGTGTGTGTGTGTGTGTGTGTGTGTGTGTGTGTGTGTGTGTGTGCCCTTAACCCGCCCGCCCCCTAGATCCAGCATTGACTATCACGATAGGCAGCTTGCACTGATATGAGGACTTTATATTGTTTCTCTCGCGTAGTTATGGCTATAGACGTCTATTTTCACCATACCAAAAATTTACCCAGTATTTGCCCATAAATGTACGTATACCCCGTATACCGAATGATTACATCGAATCAACTACATTATTATTTATCATCCTGCTATAATATCGACTGACACATAGAAGAACGGCTAAACAATAAAAACTTAAATCAATCGAATTTACCAGTTTAGTATGAAAAACTAGTATAATAGATCGATTACGTTTGATTTAGTTATCAGGACAGATTATCAATTTTATTTCAAACAATCGAACACAAGATTTCACTTCATAATACAGTGTATGATTATATGAAATGTACTAAAAAACCTTATTGTTTACAGCTAGCTTGGAAAGTTCCTGGATCATATAGTTCCATCCTGTATGCGTACACCCACTGATCGCGTCATGTATTTGTCTAACCACTATATAAATACGCCCTTGTTTCTATACGCCATTGTTAATACGTCAGCTGGGTACATGACCGATTATTCAACCACACCTGTACACAGTGCTTTTAACCATGAACGGGAGGTGCTTCGGGGGTGCTTCAACATCAGGATATTAAATAAATCTTCAACTATCCTTTACATATCAGGTTCACGCGAACGAACGCCCCCACCCTTATTTCTCCCCTTCCCCAACCAGTCACCCCCACCCCCTATTTAAACATCACACCTCCAATAGTACAACAACATCTCACCTACATGTAAACATTTGGCCGCCGTCCGAGCTAAATCCGGTATTTGTGGGGGTATCCCCATGTTTACACTACGGCATGAATGGCCAGGCTAAACGATGAAGAGGTAGACATGCGAGTCGCACTAAAGCAGATTCACGCACCATTTGTTGGAACTACTGACATCGCCAAACGGATCGAAATCCGAGTTCACTACAGACTAGATCGCGTTCGACTTGAAAATGTATTTTAAATTAACATTGAGTTGTCAGTAACGTTAACACGCAAATGCCAAATTAGTGCGTAGCTTTAATTTGACATGTGCAGCGGAAGAGAGAATTTCGGACAGCGGCTGGCATCCGTTTTTGTATTTCATACATTACTGGTAGCCGTGCGATCAGGTAGGCTAATGCAAAGCGGTGGAGGTAAGTTTTTCAGGGGGTCATTGATGATAACAGTGAGGTTACTGATTGCCAGTAACGGACGATGTAGATTTCAATGATGTAATGATGTATAAATATTGTTATACTCTCTTTAAATATAACGCTAATCTAACCTCACATCGCCTGTTTCTCCCTTCCCATCTTTTTTCTCTATCTCTTCTTCTACTCTTCTAATATTTCTTCTACTCTCTACAAATCCGTAATATTAATCGTGTAATAAGAGATATTAGCGCGTTTATTTCCTTATACATTTAGTCGCGATAATTTAATGTGTTGTTATTGAAGAATTCTATGAGGTGACACGCAGATCTACATTAGAGCCGACCTCGAATAGCCATGACGAAGAAGACAGCTACACTGTTAACTACGAATGGCTGCAGAATCACATAGAACACGATGCGGCAGGCGGGAAAGAGATGCGCTGGGATATTATGTTCGCGGAAGAGGGCAGTGGCAGTGCCACGGAGATGCCAGAGGATTGCCAGCAGAATCCGCGAATTTGCGAGGTCGAGAAAAACGAGAGATGTGTCAGTGTAGAGGAGCAGTGGAGTTGTCAGTGTGTTCCGGGGTACTATCGGAATCCTGTGTTTGGAGGATGCCCAGGTAGGGTGTTTTTTCTACTAAGTATTCCGCCTTCATTCTCATTTGTATTTTTAATACTGTTTTATGACGTTTGTATCACGCTCGAAATTTGTTCTTTTCCTCGCTTTCTGGTGCGCGCTCTCCAGTCTCTCGCTTTCTCTCTAACGTGTGTGTGTCTAAATGTATGTGAGCAATCCTATCCTATCGCTGGGTGTATCTGCTGTGTGTGTGTGCGTGCGTGCGTGCGCGCGCGCGCGCGCGTGTGTGTGTGTGTGTGTGTGTGTGTGTGTGTGTGTGTGTGGTGTGTGATGTAGTGTGTGTGTGTGTGTGCTGTGGTGTGTGTGTGTGTGTGTGTGTGTGTGTGTGTGTGTGTGTGTGTGTGTGTGTGTGTGTGTGTGCATGTGTGTGTGTGCATGTGTGTTTGTGAGTATTCCTATCGCTGTGTTTATCTGTTGCATGTGCGCGTTGCACGTGTGTGCGTGTGCGTGGGTGATCGCACGTCTGTCTGTTTAGTTGTCTGTCTGTCTGTCTGTCTGTCTGTCTGTCTGTCTGTCTGTCTGTCTGTCTGTCTGTCTGTCTGCCTGCCTGCTTACCCGCCCGCCTATTTATCCATCCGTAGCTCTATCCGTCGGTCTTTACAATTGTTTGCTATTTGCTGCAGGGCTCGCGGACTATTATAAAGTCACTATCAGGTTCTCCGATAAAAAGTTCACCGAGAGTCTCAACGATCCGACCTCTGCTGAATATAGAGCGTTAGAACATAGCGCAATTGCAACCGTGAGTACTTGAAATAGAGTAATATCACGCGTTATGTAAATAATGCATTCCAGAAAAATGTAACGCGAATCAGGTTTTCTTAGGGACTCCCAATATTGAATTTGAGACGCGTTCCTGCGGTAAATCGTCCAGCTAAAAGACGTAAATAAAAAACGAAAATTATGAATACAAGTAAAAAACCTAAATTACATATGTGTATGCAAATTTACATAACCCGGGTTGTCCTAACGTTATCGATTATTTGATGTGCTATTGTTGATCGATTAGCGATCATTACTGTATATCGATAGACCCACCTCACTATTCGTTCAATTTATTGTAAACTATGCTATCTGTATGGGAAGAACATGTTTGGTAAATAATATAATATGGTATAAATATGCAAATACCATATCGGGCAATTCATGGAGTCTACAAGTAGATGTAAGATATCAACAGTCGAAGAAAATACCTGAAATACACGCTTTCTTTCCTCCGTACGGGAAGCTAACACAAGCTAATTCCTAATGGTTTCGACTACGCAGATGTGGGAGCTTAGCTACATCGATAGCACGTTGAGAACCTCTGTTAAGGAGATAGACGTGCTGAGGTTCGAGCGAGGCAGCGTTCTGACAGTTTACAACCTGGTGACGGACAACAGCGCAAACATCACAAATAGCGACGTCGAATACGCGCTATCCTCGGCACTCGTGAATGCACCGACCAACACGACACTGAATCTGGTCAATGCCACGTTGACGGAGGTCGTCAGTAAGTTCTTGTATACAGAGTTATTTTGTACTTGTAATTCTTAATTATTTTGTGTTGATTCGGTATATTCTCCACCCTACTAGATCGCTGTAAAGCTGTTGTCATTTTCTGACTACATCGTTTTCCCATCTTCCGTTATCGCTCCACTATTCCCTAGTTTCAACTGATTGATTTAACAATTTATAGTTCACCTCCTAGATAGTTCTACATTTTCTATCGATCCAAATCATGTTAGGCTATTTAGCTGACTATCATAATCATTATAGTTTTTGCCGCCGTCGTCGCCGTTGTCGCCGTCTTGGTAGTTGTCGCTGTCGTCGTTGTTAACCTACGCATAATCTTTATCATCTTTGCGATTAGCTGGCCGGGTACGATGTTTAGCAGCGTTTAAAGCGCTGCTGGTCGGTTCTACTTATATAATGCGTGTTTTTTCAAAACCTGTAAAAATCCCGACACCGGAACGAGTATAATTCCATTCGTTTTTGGTATATTTTCGCAACAATGAGATAAGAAATTTACATTACATTGCAACTTACTCTCTTTAATGTACATAATCGTAACAGTGGAAACACAATCCGGTAACATTAAAGATGTTCATTCCATCTTCCAGGTGTTTCCCGGTGCGAGGATGCACAACTGAACTACTGTCACAGCAACGCCACCTGCACCGAACATACCGACGGCAGCGGCTTCACGTGCGCGTGCGCAGCGGGTCTGGTTGACTGTGCCAAAGTTGTCGGTGGCAGTTGCTTTGACTGGTACAAACCCGGAGAACAATGTTTGCCGTCGGCAGGTCAGCTTCTTAGCTAATGGGTTTCATTTTGTGTGAACCCTTCGCAACACATACCTTAGAAATAATCCTTAAAAGTATGGTCATCTTCTTAACCAGACGCCATCTTTGCCACGAGCTTCAACGATGCATACGCGTCGATCATTTTTGCTGCATGGATTTCCCCTGGTTCCCCCTTCTTCACTATTTTCCTGCCTTCTTCACCTCCGCGTCGTAGTATTAAACTATTCAACTGCTATTTAGATCTGCTTCCTTCTCTTTGCCACATATCTGTCCCGTTGTTTCACTTCTCCTCCATCACTCTTACCAATTTGTTCGTCACTGCATTCCCTTACAAATAATCGCATTTTCGTTTTTAATTTGCGAATTTTCTATGTGGTTGAAAGGCTAATGATTTTTAGCGCCAATGCTAAATCTACCATCATATTTGACTCGAAACAGGCACGACTGATGTACCAGCCACTACACATGCTAGTACTACACAGTGCGCCGTGGACTTCTGCGCACATCGCGGCACCTGCCGCCATGATAAACTTCACCAGAAGACCTGCGAGTAAGTAGGAAAACGTTGAAGTAATTGAGTAATATACACCATCGCCTGCGACGGGCGAAACCAACTAAAATATACCAAGGATCGAACAAACCCGAAAGCGTACATGAATATTAAAGCATATTCCAAACTGTTACATATCTGTATATATATATATATATATATATTCCCCATGTCTTATATAATATATATTATAATGGTCTATTTGATGTTTACGCGCGATTTGTGTATTTCAGATGTGATATATGGTATGGTGGAAATCGATGTGAAATCGATATAGCAGGTAAGATTGCAACGAACTTATGCAAGAACTTTATGAATGAAAGACACATGTACTAATGAGAACACTAAAATGACAAAAAAAGCAAAGGATTCATAAATTAAATAATTATTAAAGTTTTTTGTAAAATGATGACAGCAAAATAATCACTCACTCACTCACTCACTCACTCACTCACTCACTCACTCACTCACTCACTCACTCACTCACTCACTCACTCACTCACTCACTCACTCACTCACTCACTCACTCACTCACTCGATCCCGATTCTTTGTGGTCTCCGTAACACACTGCTGTTTATTTTTACAGTTCTGCTGGTTTCTATTTTAAGCACCCTACTGGTGATAGCAGTCGCTGCTATGATAATAGTCACCTGGTATTATTACAGGTACGTTTGCTTCAAAACAGTGCCCGTTCTCTTCCATGAATTATTAGTTCTGGAATATGAATAGTACATTTAACGACATGGTGCGTGTGGCACAGAATCCCATTGCGCGTATAGTATTATTCCGAATAGAATTTAACACGTCCTGAACCACAAACTACAAGTCAGTAGCAAATATAATCGCTGCATGCCATTCACGGCAATCGTTTCAAGACGGAAATTGTACATACATGTAGAATCTGGGTACAGCTAAAGACCGGAATGCTCTCGCGAATGCAATTAACCGACCCCAGGAACTCATTCTTTGTACGCATACGCACTCACGTACACGCGCACGCATATATTCATTAACTTGCAGGTCTCATCGCGGCCAATATATATTAGAGGAAGCATACAAGCGTCTAAACATAGGCACCGATAACATGCTCCCCAAATTTACGGGAGCCAGGATGCCAGCGAAGCGCAGCGACGCAGAACATTGTGTTGGAGCACTGGACACATGCCATGTTCAGCATAACGTCGACGTAATCCCCGCACAATGGTTAACGCAACCGCTAGATGTCGCCGATGGCTCGATGCCGAATCTGAGCCAGCTGGAAAGTGCGACTGTGCGTCTGCCAAGAGTGCTTGGTTTAAGAAAGTATATGTAGAAAAGAACAGCGCGCGTATATACTCGCAATAGTGTGCGTCTTTCCTTAACGAACGAACGGTAATTGCTTAGACTATATATGACCGCATGTTTCTCTTTCTATAGAGAGAGTCTTCAATATAACATAATTTAGTGACGGATTGACTCATGTATTTCACGGCATTATTGTTTACATATTTATAGCGCGTCTGTAAATAGTTAATGTAAACGTCTCGTCTGTGTATGTAGTACAGGCTATTGATAGCTTGAAACGTGATCACGGGTTTGCAATGAAAATGTACTCGATAATAGCCCTACGGCTTGCAGTGTCTATAAGAACCAGATGATTGTCGATTAGTCCTCTGCTACGGGTAGGGAACTTGTGCCCAAAGGTATCATTACTTACGGGGCTGCCATCATTCCTCAGTTTCCCGTGCCGACCGTGACACATAATGTATGTGTTCGTTGATCACCCCCCCCTCCCCCACTACACCAGCATACCCCGCGTCCCCGGCGTGGTGCCTCTCAAGAGACTGTCCCCTGTCACCGACCAGAAGCTCTTCATCGGCATGCAGGACCCTTGTAACCGGAAACAATCCCAACCTATCGTACGCCGGCAGGCATATTAACTAATGATCGGAGTCGTGTACTTGCACAGTAGTACGTGGCAAGTGTATGTGTGCCTATATAAATACTGGGCGGAAGCCCAGAGAAGACATTAAAGACCCTGGGAAAACATTACGTTAATTAAAGAGCGTTTAGAATGTTTTTTTTTTCTAATTTGCTTGGTGGCTCGATCTCGTTTCTGCTGCTCTCTCGCCGATCCTTGAGAGACACTAATTGGTCAACACAACTCTTATCACATGACTAATAAATCTATACCTATATCTAAGGAAAGCCATCCCCTTCAAAAATCGTTTTTAAACATTTCAAATACACAATTTTAAATCAATTTTAAACATTTCAAATGAATGAATAAAAATACAAATTACTTTATATTGTTCGAGAAATTTAAATTCAAAATTTAAAATCAATTCACAGAATAACAAATCAATTTATTAACTTGCAAATTAATTCACAGCTTTCCAAAATAATTGTATGATGTACAAATTCCTTCACATCATTACAAGTGATATACATTGTAGTGATATACAAATACGACTGCGTGTTGTGCAATATGAAGCCCTCCCTGTGAATTAGAGCATGAAATGTTGCGCGAGGTAGTCCCGACTATCTCGGGGGAGAGAGATGGTAGGGTTTAGGGTTAGGGTTAGGGTATCACAATGCACCTAAAACAGAGTTCTGAGAGTTTGAGTCCCGCTACGGACCGTGACTCATTTGAGCACGATTCGCACCCGCTGAGTCCCCGATCGCCAGACTCAGAGCTTAAAATTAGGAGTGCCTAAGTAAAGACATTATCATTATGCAGGCAGTCCTTTTCAGCCGGGCTGGCGACGAAATTCTGGCGCCATTGCTGTGTGGAATCTCTCCCCTGTGTCGTAGTGCCTATTGGCGGCTTTTCTCGAGGTATCCAGGATTCGAGATTTTTAACCACCCGCTTGTCGGATAAGCGTGGTACCATGGTTACTGTTGTAAGGTAATATATGTTCGGTAGTTTATTTGAGCATTGATATTTTACTTGAAGACGGCTCCGAAGTGCCTGGTTGTCGCTACAGGCAGCTGCTGTAAACAAACAACATCTTTCCGCGCAGGCGTGGATTTTATTTTTAGGAATAATTAAGTAAAATAGGGCTCTAGTGAGCGCTGCCATTAGTTGAGCTTGTTTCGTCGCTCAATGACGTCACAGTTGTGGTAATATTCATGGCCATCCATAAATTAATAATCCTATTATATCTCGAATAGCCGACCGCGTAGAGCACTTAAACGTCAGGGCTTAAAGGTCGTTGGATCTAATCCGATCTTTTTTAAATTATTTTCCTGTTTTCTGTGTATTTTATTTCATTTAACTACTATTTTTTCCAATTAACGCAAATGTTTACATGATTTATTTACAACAATTTAGATAACAACAATTATTTTTACAACAATTAAATTTTTTTTTTTAATAGGGTTAGGGTTAGGGTCACAATGCACCATAAAACAAGAGTTTGAGGCAGCGTGATTTGTATCAACAAATGGCACGCTTACTAGAGCCCTATGTCTTTGATTATCCTAGGGAAAAAAATCGTTTGCGGGAAAGATGTGTTTGTTTTAGCAGCAGCTGCTGTTAGACCACAGGCACTTGAAGCGTTCAACTAAAAATATAATGCTAAATAAATACGAAATTCTATTTACTACCAAAGTAACCAGTACCACGCTTCCGCCAGGGTGATAAAAAATCGGATCCTCGAAAGCTCCAATAGCGTATCCATCCGAGCTGAAGCATCCGGGGCACTTTTAGAATGAATTGTATTTGAAGTTTAGTGTTGTAGTTGGCTTGTTCGGAAAGTGTAGTGAATAGATTGCAAGTGCTATGAATTATTCGAGTTTCGCTGAAGTAGTTTTGCACACGCGGACCGGAAACAACAGGTGGGCGGCAAATTGTAAACGTTAGTAAGTGATTTCAGAGGTCTTGAATAGATTGGAAGTGCATAAGAATTGATTGTTAAATGAGCTCTTTGATGTAAACGTTTATATTATGTTTTGAAAGCTGTATGAGTTAATTTGTAATTTTAAGCTATACATTTGTCCGTTTTACCTAATAATTCTGAAAACCAATAGATAGATTCGCATTTCTGGTGATTAATGTTAAACGTAATAAATTAGTTTTAAAACTTAGTGAACTGATTCGTTGTTCTGTAAATTAATTTAAAACTTATAATTTTTATTGTTAGGGTCATGAAGCAAGATTTACATTTGTGAGTTTATGTAACATGTTCGCCAATTAAATTGCAAGTTAGTAAATTGGTTTGTTGTTTTGAAAATAAATTGTACATTTGAGAAAAATGAATTTTAGCAATCGATGTAGAAGAGAGTTGTTACTATCAGGCAATTATTTTGGAAAGTTGGTGGAATTAATTTGCAAGTAAGATATAATTGATTGTTATTTCTGTGAATTGATTTAAATTGAATTTAATTATCGTCGAACAGATGATACAAGTAATTTTGTAATTTTATGTAAATTAAATTTGAAATGTTTCGAGAATTGATTAAAATTGGTGTATTTGAAATTGTTTTGAAAATGATTTGGAAGGGATATGGCTTCCAAATATATCTATGTCTACTATCTATATCTATCATTTATATCTAATGTCTATGTCTATATCTAATAATCTATGTCATATCTATATCTTTTATTATAGAATCTACTTATATAGTAGGGGGATACCTTATAGAT